AGTTGGGGGGAGCTGAGCCCCCCCAAACACACACACACCTTGCCCTTAAGGCAGGAGGGGGCAGAAAGGAGTGAGTGGGTGGCCCTAAGGCGAGGGGGCCTAGAGGGAGGGGGCAGAGCGGGGCAGGAAGAGGTGGGGTGGAATGGGGCTGGGGCCCTGGGGGAGAGGGCGGAGCTGGGATTGGGCACCCACATGGCAAAACCAAAAGTCAGCAGCTATGATGGGATGGGGAAGAGAAGGGGTTTAGGGGAAGTGGGGGCCCAGCATGCGGATCCCCTTGGCAGTAGCTGGGGCTCCCCTGTTAAGCAGGACCATCAAACCCTCACCCTGACAAACCCCAGCTCCCCTGCATCTGTACCACCCTAATGAGCCCCCCAGAGACCCTCCTCACTGAGCCCCAACCACCTACACCCACCCCCCCTGAACTCCAACCACTTTCACTTGGTCCCCATGCAGACTCCCATTGCCCCTGCACCTGGCACCTCCCTGTGCATCCAGATCCCCCACTGAGCTGCCTGCACCCAGACTGCCCCCCACAGAGCCCTCTTACCCCCCCACAGAACCCTCTTACCCCCCCACAGAACCCTCCTACCTCCATCTGGAGCCCCCCCCCCACTAAGTCCCTCTGCACTTGGATCTCACTGCCAGGCTGAGCCTCCCTGCCCACATCTGGTGAGCCTGGTGCAAAAGGGGCAGGGCCCCAGGGTGTTTCTGTGGCAGGCCTGGCCCTTGTGCTGTGCAAGGGTCAGGTTCAGCCTCACTGCCAAGTCCCTGTCCCAGGCGTATTCTCCCACCTCAGTGGCCTGTGCTCCCCACTGCCATGGTGGAGCTTCCACATTCATTTATTGTGAAAAAAAATCAGAATTTTAAAATATGATGCACAGAATTTGATGCAGAATTCCCTCCGGAACATGGGGCACTGTACAGCTGTGATGGTGGGACTGTGAAGGGGGTGCTGGACATTGGGGGATCTGTGGGTGGGGGAGCTGGGCAGAGGTATGGTGTGCAGGGTGCTGCGCAGTTGTGGTGGGAGGTCAGCGGAAGGGGTCTCTGGGCAGGGGGTGCTGGGTATAGTGGGTCCGGGGGCATTGGGCATAGGGATCTGTAGGGAAGTCGTTGGGCAGGGGGCGCTGGGCATAGGGATCTGTGGGGGGAGTCTCTGGGCGAGGGGGCGCTGGGCATAGGGGATCTGTGGGGGAGGTCTCTGGGCGAAGGGGCGCTGGGCATAGGGGATCTGTGGGGGGAGTCGTCGTGGGCGAGGGGGCGC